AACTGCATATTTATAAACTGCTTGCTCAAAGGCCTATAGCAAGTTGCTTTAGGCACAGGAAGAAACTTGATCACTGAAGTAAAACCACTGCCAAGAAAAGCAGGAATGTTTTGTCAGGTTGGTGTTTTTTAGTTCTATGTTTAATGATCTGCCTTTCTCCAAGCTTGTTTTACCTTAAAAGGCTTTTAAAGTGTCAAACATGAGCTACTGCTTCCACAAGTATGTATGCTGGATTGCAGTAAGAAGGTAATTCATGTCTCTCTCTATAAAAAAGAGCTTTTATAAAGCATCAAGAAACAAAGACTTTATTTATACAACCTCTCAAAACTTCACCAGCATCAGCCTCACTAAGTATACTAAGCTGTCAAGATAAAATAACCAACATTATTAGAAAACAGATCAAATTTGAAAAGATCCTTGGAAATTTTTTATTAATTTCACTGGGCATCTGCCTTAGTCTAGAGTAAGGTAGGAAATGATTCTGTGAACAATTCAAACTGCTTACACTACTAGAGCTTTTGAGCATAACACTATCAGAAGACGGGATAAAAATACAGTTCCATTCACCTGAGAGGCACAAAGTGCAAAAAACTACTCCTGAATTAGAGAAGTCCAAGGAAATCTGACAGCCTTGTTTCAAACATGTCTAATGGCTTAACTTGCAAGTTAACGTAGAGGTGAGGGATAAGACACGTCTCAGTAGGCTCCAAACAGTAAGAAATGGAAAGCTACATTTATAAATGCTCCAAAGAAGGACAAAACTCTTAGAAGAAAAACTAAATATGGTGGGAATATGAAGCTATGAACTTCACTCTTGTTTTGCAATGTGCTTTTTTACTCCCTTGCCCTCATCTGTCTTACAGCTTTTGATACAAGTCCACTACAATCTCCACTGCTGAAGCAATCTCCACTGCTTTCGTGGCTGCCACTTTATGCCGATACTTACACAACACACTTGAGCAGCAGTGCTCCTGCAAGAAAAACTGAAGAAAAGCAAAACATCTACAAATAATTCCTGAAAAGACTATGAGATTAAAAAGAAAAGTATTTAATATATGAAGTCTTACATGAAAGAACACGAAGCATTCAGAAGTTGAAACTCATTTCACAGGAATCAGTTCCTTACGTATGCAAGTTACACTTTGAAAAAGAGGAATTTCCACGGAGGGAAGAGGGCAAGGACATCCAAAAATCTTTAAACTATCAGGAAGATGACCTGTAAGTTTTTATTGCAACTATTGTTTCATCAACTACAATAATCACCTATTTCACACTGTTACTACAGAATTAAATCTGTACATCATAAAACTAAGACTACAACTCCTACATATCGTAGATACATGAAAACTATTTTAATATACTAAATCCACATCACTCTAAGCTGGTGACATGAATAAAAGTATTTCCTGACACTGGAATTATTTGGTAAAAAGGTTCCAACTGAGATTTAACAGTGTAAATCTAAGCAAGTGATTCGCAACTGGATAGTAACCACTGCATGTTTGAACAATTAATGTATTAACCAGCACTCAGAAGTACTTTTTTTTAAAAAGTACTTGTGCTGTTGAAAAATACAATATTGTTTTCAATCACCATCAGCAAGATCCTCTTTCAGACAGAGGAATGTACACAAAATAAAAATTACCAAAATACTACAGGAAAACAAATTTCCCAATTAAGATACCAGGAAATTAGAACGCATATATATTGAGATATAACAACAGATTTTAACTAACCGACTTTTAGAAAGCAAGGGAAAATCTCTAAGCAATATGGAAGTGTTTATCAATAACTTATCTAGAACCAGATTAGTAAATTCTTTAGGCATCACTAGGCTGCCCATTAGACTAACAATCAATGCAATCAAATTTCTAGTGTACATCAACAGAAACAAGAATGCTTCAGGAAAAGAAATCCCCCCACAGAAAATATTTTTATCATCTGTAACTAAACAAAGTAACTGGACACTGCATTAAACTTGATTACAAGATGCTTTTCAAAAGCAGTTATACTTAAAAGAATCAAAGTTTAATGACTTAGGGAAAAGATAGAGATAGAAACTTTCAACAGGAAAGTGTAACGCTGCAGCCCTATATGAGAGATTCCATTTCTGGTTGTCGCACTTACCATTTATCTTCCTCTTTTAGACTGAACAGTAAAAAGGGATAGGATATAAGCGAAGAAAGCTTACTTTTCAAAGCTTTTAAGAAACAAAAACAAGGATTAGAAACAATTATTATTGTCCTTCTAAATGGTTGGCAAGAGAATTTAATATGTTATAAGGATTATGCCAAAAGAGTTTATCAAGACCTGATATGGTAAAAAACTATCCACCAGTATAAAAAAATGCAATTCTTACAAACAGTCAACTTTTAAACTCTTAAAATAGAGAATAACTTTTTCAGTATATGTACAATGGTAATCTGAGACTAGAAGTAAGTACCAGATGGAATCTGTTCCCAGTAAACAAGTATTAGTAAGAACAAATAAAAACAAATCAGTTGTATAAGAAATTCTAAGTTGAAAACAGATTTGATGTATCATTTTGCAATCTCCAGACATAGTTCACAATTTTTGTCTGCTGCAAAATGCAAAGGTTTTTTCAATTCCCATTCACACTACCTAAGTACAGTTATCTAAAAAAATGCTGTAACAAACACCTATAAAATGACAGGCGAGCTTAGTCACAGAGCTGCCCTGATTAGAAACTGCTGCTAAAGAAAGTAAGTAAAAACGTAACTTTCAATTTTGTTTCATTCTACCCTTTTTTTAAGGCTCAAAGAACATCAGAAGTAAAACACACGTCAAAACATGACCAGAATACTAAAGACTAGTCTAGATAAAAGATTTTTGTCATATATTATTGTATATGCCACTTCATATGACATTTAAAAATACACCTGTACTACATATTCCTTTACATATAACTTTCTGCACTTTCAGTAGGGCTGTTACTGCACAGCTACAAATATATATTCTAGTAGTGCATAATTAGTTCTAGATGAACCCAACACAGTGGGGAGGCTACATTCTTCCAAACCATTCTTCCACCTTTGCCTTTCCCCTCCAAAAAAATTCAACGTATAAAAGTCACAAAAATTGTGCATAGTGATTGAAGTGCTTTCCATTCGAACCACTCCTCTTCCCTTCTTACCCGACATTTTTGCCAAGTCCAGCACAGCAACTTGGAATAGTTTCTATTTACACAGAGTTTGGAATTTTAAAACGTAGATAAGCAATGAGGATGGCCAAACTGTGGCAAGCAATTCAAGCACAGAGACTAAATAACATTTTCTCAAGACAGATGTAAGAAGAAAAGCAAGTTAATGGCTGTGGTGGCCAACGTTATCTGGTTTTCCCCAGCACTCCAAGCTGCAGAATTCCTAACAGGAATGGAATCTGCAGGAGCTACTGCTACCCCAAGCCTGTGGGTTGGCTCCCCAGTTTCCAGCCGGTGCAGTTCTCTGCAGCAAGAAGCACGGGCCTCACACAACAGGCAGAGGAGCATTTTGACAGGTAGCTTACAGGGTCAGAAAGTCAGGTGACCCTAAAAGATGCTACATTAAGATATTAAGGCGAAATGAAATTTCACATTTGGCAGTACAGAAGTCACAATCAGTAAGTACTATTTCTAAATTACGTCAGGCAACTGTTATATGCGATTTACCAAAGTCTGTTTAATAATATTTGGAACACACTAAAGGACAGTATGAGTTTTGAACTCCTGGTCTTCATCAGCCCAAAAAAAAGACATGCTGAAAGCAATTTTCTTTTACAGTGTGAGCACTTACAGAAATAAAAGACTAACTGCTTTCTGATCCAAGTCCCTCAAAACACTGAGTGAAAAATCAACTGATAGCTGTTAGTAAAACCAAAAGAACTATTTTGCTTTCTCCCAATCTTTACTAAAAACACTAAGTGGCAGAGGATGGGAAAAATGTCCTGCCAAGAGCAGGAAATCATTTATTTTCTAGCATCTCTTAGGATGTCCCAGAACATATGTAATAAATTCTTTGCAACCACACAGAAAATTTTAAGGTATAGAATGTAAAATAGGTATTTCTTTCACAAAAACAGAAAGTAGCTGAGAAATCAGCAGTTCATTTCTGATTCATGTATCAAGTTGTATCTGTGAAGGGGAGCAAATTTCCCTCCTGCAGACTACAGTTGTTATAATAACATAAAAGAGCATTGTGTGAATCGCTTATTCATTGCTTCCTCACTAAGAATAGCTGTAACAGTAAAAGATATCCCACTCATATGAAACTAAAGCATTTGCAACACAGGTTGCATTCATTTAACTGATTTGGCTGGTAGAGAGCCATATTCCTTTACCAAAACAGATCATCATGAAAATTTAGAAGCTGACTCCTCTGATACCACCATTTTGCTAGTCCTGCAGAGGCAGAGCATATTTAAATTACTAATATAAATAATGTAGAAATTATAGAAGAGGACAATTTTTCCCCACCTTTATAATCTTTCAGTCTCCTTTAGTAAAGATTTTTATATTTTCTTCATCTAGTTTTACAGTAGGGTCAAAAAGAAGAGTGATTTCAGGCTCCATATGAAATTAACACTGCCCATTTTGTTTCTGGAGTATATTATTCTCAAGGTAAGCATAAACCAAAACAAGCAATTCAAACAAGCTTAACACCATAAACTGGTTTCAAATTTAAACCTTCAAGTAGACTAAGGCACCTCCTCATGGAAACATCATTGATTCCCATCCCCTTTCCCAAATAAAAAAAGACAAATTATCTAAACACCTTAAGGTAACTGAAGTGTTACATCACCAGCTCGTAGGAAAAATAACAGTGATGTCATCATACAAGAGAATAACTACACTACTGAATATGCACCACTTCTCTCAGGAGAATGACGGAATTCTAAATTAAAAACAGTAAACATGAAGATGGCAATTCAATAGCTAATACAACAAATAATACAATAAAAAAATTATTTTGCAATTTGGACTTTCATCATAGATTTTGACTTACATTGTCCATGAAATTTGGCTTAAATCCTCCTTCCTGCTGACGTCGTAATTCCTCCTGTTCCCTCTGACGTAGCATCTCTTCTTCACGACGTCTGTGTTCTTCTTCATGTCTAGAATATTTTTCAAAAATTATGTCAACTTAGTATCTTCACCTGTTCAGTCTGCTACTCAGTCTCGGGACATAAGATCAAGTGTATAAACAAAACTGGTCATTACTTATTTTTTTACACAGTGTAAGGCACTAATCTACTCCACTTGATGAGTTGGAATATTATTGAAGTATTTTTAAATTTTTTTAAACTGGAATCCAGGTAATTGCAATACCAGTATATACTATGTAGTCTTTCAGGTACATACTGGTAAGCAGGTTAAAACTTTTTAACAAGTCAGTATGGATTAAAACATTTCAATACTGCCAACACATTTTTAACTCTGAGTTTGTGTTGTTCTTTTTTCTTAACATTTATTGTGATATTTAACACAAAAAGTATAAACTTAATCAGCATGATGATACTATGTCTATTTTCTTAAATTCTAGCAGAGACACGAAAACCAGTATTTGCAATATACCAGAACATAAAGTGAAATCACCCTCCAAAATCCCATGTCAGACTATAAAATTGCAATGCTACAGTTCTATATGCAGATCCCCTGCCCATAAATCTTAGAAGCATGTTCACATCTATCACAGCTATGCTGCAGTGACAAGGTTAAAATAAATATGAAATAAAAAAACTATGTTAAAACATTTCTACACTATTTAGAAATCTCAGAAATTTACAACAGAACTAGTAGAGCTGATACAAATGAAAAAATTCAAGGAAAACTTGAAACCATTCTTTTACTTTAGCATTATATTAACATTATCAGAAACAGCACATATTATGCTTTTGAAAAGCAAATTTTTAACAGCAGAAACACTTCTATTTGGTATAAATAGCAAGCTCGACAAGCTGAAGTATCTAAATTCACACAGGCCTAGAGCAGCTGCACGCCACACTTTTGCACAGTAGAAGACAAAATACCTCAATTGTATCTGCTTGCGTTTTTGAAGTTCTTGATTTCGAAGTTCTTCCAAACGCCTCAATTCTTCCTGACGACGCATGAGATCTACCGGGATCAAAAGTGTATTTAAATATAAAAGCTGTCAATTAATAGTGTGGCAACATAAAAATTGTTATTATTGTAGGGTTACAGTTATAATATTCTAATTTTAAACAAATTCATCAATGCATTTAACTCATTTCTTCCCATAAAGCTATGAAAAAACACACTGGATCTATGGCTCACAAAGGCAGAAAGGTACAGGATGGGCAAAGTCTCCACAGCAGGTTATGACAACAGAAATCTGAAGTCCTCAAAGAAAAGGAGAAAAACCTCACAATCCCTTAAATCACATCCTGGTTTTACATCTGGGGCAGGGCATCAGTGTTCTCACAATGCCGTATACTGCTAAAGTCATACTACCAATTATGAAGTACACTACACCTAGTACACTACTAGTACAATATATATGGACTTACTCATACTCTCCACTATCTATTGCAGACCACTATAATGGCATACATCAGAAAAAAAAAATTATATGAATTTCTGTGCATGAAATTCAAACCTCCATGGAGATTTATCACATGACTCTATAGTAACTTAGAAATTACTCGTATTTTAACCCCACCACAAAGGAAGAGCCATAGCCTCTTTAGAAGCACTTAAAATGCTCTTAAATAGCAGGGCACAACTCATAGTTATTACTTTTGCTGACCAGCCATATTATTGATTCCTGCCTGGAAATTTATCCTTTCTTCAAAGAATACTAATTCCACCTTTTGTTAGGAAGTAGTTCTTTGTCTTTTCTATCTTCAGAGTACATTGGTCACAAGACATTATTTATAGACACCACCAGGAACATTCCACCCATACAAACTATTATATGCCTTTTATGTTTTAGTTCAACTATTCTGCACGTTTCTCTATGTGTTTCTTCACTATACTAATTAAAAAATCTTTTTAGCTATGCAAATCACTTTCCTCAAAATTGCATCAACATAAATTATCATAACTTAAAATTTTACTTTGATATCCCGAAACTACAATGACCAGTATATTTTGTCCAAATATCATGTATTTGTTTTCATTTCTAACAAAGATTATCAGATTTTTACTCTCACAACATCCTTATTGACATTAGAAGTCTTTTCTCAAGCACATTTTGCAGGATTGCTTTTCCAATCTCTTCTGCAAAACTAACACACTTCACACTTGAACAGAATATGACTACATCAAAGATTCACTCAAATCACAAAGTCTGAGGGCCACTTCTTTCCAACAGTGCTTGCCATAAAAGGCCTGGCCACTGTTATCCTGATACTTCAGGAATGTCACAAGCGCACTATTTTTCCTTTTAAATAACCTTTAGAATATTTCAGAGTGCAAGTGTACTCTTCTTTTAAAATGAACCTTTAGGTTGCTTCAGGGTATCAGAGATTAAGAACTGACCCACTCTATACTCAACACTGTCCACTGCGGGACAAGATGTTTCCTTTTCAGTTCTTTGTTCTTTCAATTTTATGCAGCATTCCCTATTTCTCGTGCACACCGGCACAGGATTTCCTACTTTCTCTCCATTAGTAATTGCTACAAATTTATCATTTACTGTCCTTTGCTCTTAAGGTGTAGCACACTACTTTTCCCACTGTTCTCTTAATTTTTTTTCCATTGTATAGCTGTGATTATTGCCTTTGCTGAAATTGTTAGTATTTTAAAGTTCAACATAGCAATTCATGATTCAGTAGCATTTGACAACAGCAGAATCTTGGCACAAAGCCTTACAAGCCAAGGGAAAATACTGATATACAGGTTTGGGCTGTGCACAAGAGCCATTTGTATTAAAAGCTCTGCAATTATGGTAATTCTTTACTGACATATGTTGGACACGGGCTCTTCCTCCGAACTGAAAAAATCTGCAGTAAACCAACTGTGGAAAAAAAACCAAAAAGCCTCTGCACTTTCTTGTGCTTCTAAAAGGACAACATCTTCATTTTATCCTCATCCTTCCACACAGCAGATGGAAGAAGGTAAAAGTGTACTCTTATCTCAGAAGTTAATCCTACAAGTTGGAATACCAACTCCACAAAGACTTTTAAGCAGTTTTAGCTGCTGATTTTTCAGGTTCTAAAAATGGAAAATAAATGCCAAGCTTCCACTAATTGATATAAAAATTAAGCTTCTGCTTAAATTCAGTCACGCTTCCCAATATTTTCATAATCTATTTAACCATCATTATGAGAGAATATTTATAAAAGCTTGACACATACCACAGTATGTAGACCAGAAATATCATGTAATTTACTTACACATGGAAACACGTATTCTGCTTTACAAATTACTTCTGACTCAGTCTGTCAAAACATGACACTTAAAAGTGAAAAATTACACATATCAAAAGAATGAAATCTACCTTCAGTATTAATACCACACCACAAAAATCTGAGTACTTAAACCAACACATTCTAGAGTTCAAGTCCTACCAACTCTCACAAAGCAGTTTCTACAAAACCTTCACTTGCGGGAGTATATGGACCAGTAAGCTCATTATTTCATCTTCTTTTTAGCTCCTACATAATTAAAATATTGCATTTCATATTTTATAATTACTAATGCATCTTTAAATCTGACTTAGTGCATCAGGTATACAAAAATATTAATTCTAGGTTCTGATGCCTTAGAAGTTTCATTGCATCTTTCTTAAAAACCCTGTGATGCAATCTCATTAATAAAACTAATATTCTCAGCATGGTATAAACTTAGACCCACAGACACTGTTTAGACCAATAACATTTAGAGGCAGCTAATCTCTAAAAAGAAAAAAACAAAAACAAAAACATAACCTTATTTTTATACATATTGAAGCTGGAGAATTGGGTTTAAAACAGAAGGAATACTTACTAACCCCTAGATCTTGGAAAACATCTGTGGGTGAATCAGCAGAAATCTAATTAGCTGAACAAAATTCCAAGTTATCTGGTACCAAGAAAGTACTCTGCTAACTGAACTGTGAGGGGAAAACAAATCCTCCTCCCACACTAACAGAAAGCACATTTCCTCACTGGAATATTAGCACCAAATGCATTTATGTTCTAGTGACCCTTTAATGGGAGCAGTAATTCTCTTCCTTTTCCATATAAAAGCAGGGCTTAACAGCTATTTCAAAAGAGGAATATCTTTTCCTTCACACTGTACTTAAAAGAAACCTCAGTATCTACAAAACACATCTAAGCTGCTTTCCCATGTTTTACCATCCAGAGCTTTTCTGTCTTAATAAATAGGCTACTGTCATATTGTCTCACTCAACATAATTAAGGCATGATAATTTAAGAAAAAGTAATCCCTAATCTTGCCCTCAAATACAGGCAACAGGTGAATGAATTCTGAGAAAATATAAGAGCACAAGTTCTAGAACTGGACCATTAACACTGTTAAATATTAGCAATTAGGTAAGTCAATGGTAAATTTATCCAACCTGTATCTTCAGCATGGAACCATCTTAGGAAATATCTATCACATATACACACAGAATTAAAAATATATGTCTAATTGAAAAGGGAGGGCTGTATGGTGTATTATAGGCATTGCTGTTATATCCCATTAACATGTACATTCCTCACCTGTAAGATACAGCTATGCTTACACACAAAGTAAACACTTTAACATTTTTTCTTGGAAAGTAAACCAAGAAACAACATGACAGTTGTCATTTCAGGTGCTGCAAAACAGTTTATGATGTTACTGCGCTCTGTATTAGATCTTACGCTTTATATGTTATTATATATATAAATTATGTTTTTAGTAATTATGCTCTATATAAGACCTTATAAAAACAGCATGGCTTCACACTGAAAGCATTTGTGCCTAGTCAGGAAAAAAAGGCTAAATAAACTTTTTCCTAATGACAACTTTCAGTTGCAGTAGTTTTAAAAATACTATATAAAAAATGAAGTACGTTCCTTTAAAACTCCTTCCCAATTACGAAAATGTTTTAAAGCTTATTTTAGAAGACTCTGCATTTACATGCAATATATTCAAGCATTTAGGTTCTCTAATTCCACCAGTCTAGTGACTAACCTAATCTACCCCATATACTTTCAACGTTCCCTCCAAGTAAGCAGGAAAAAAATTAGACCAGTCCCACACAGGGAGGTCATACTGTTAACAAAAATGTCCCTTTGTAAGTGTAAGCTTTAAGTAAAGCCAAGTAACTGCAGCAAACAACTTCTGCCAGTTAATTGGGTTTAGGTTTCGAAATGCATCCACTACTTAAAATCTCATCAAGTTCACATCACTTCAAAATGACAAGGCATTCTTATTCAGTCTATCAAACTACTCGTTGTACTGTCTTATGATCTAACACTCTGAGGGATAAAAATTTTTTTAGGCAGCCATGATCTCCCTTTAGATTTAAAAAACAAAAACCTTTAGTACTTGCCCCGCTACTACTGTTCTCTCTGCCCAAGAAACACAAGCTTCACCCTGCTCCATTCATAAAGATAAGGTTTGAAAGCAATTGCTAAAGAATCTTTTGCCCCAATTAGGAAAGACAAGATGTTCAAATAATCACAAAAAAGGGATAAATAATCTTAAAATTTGAACAACAACAGAAATTCACGGCAACTGTGTGCTATTTTGAGTTGTTACACACATATAATACTAGGCACATATCAGACTTCTCAGCTGGGTTTCAAAGGAAAAAATGTAACATTAGCTACTGGAACATTTAATATCATACTAGAGGTGTGCAAAACAGCTACAAGTACAAGCTATCATTTTATTTTTCCCTGCACATGACCGGCAAATAGTACTCAGTCCTATCTAGTACCATAAGGAACATCAAAAGTGGAAAATAATCTTTACTGATGAGTGTGAAGCTACTATTCAATTATTTTACACAAACTATGTAACTAGACAAATTTAAATGAAGAAAACAGACCTAGACAATTGCCCCTTTCTCAGTTTCTTAATTCATTTCTGCAAATCATTGAGAAACATGTGTAAGGAGAAATATTACCTCCTTTTTCTCAGTTAAATGCATTTCATTGAATAGTGGCTGGCAAAATCTTTAAGTATAACATACAGCATGATATGCTACACAAAAAAAAATCTGTGACAAAACAAATTTAATACTAGTAGATTATCCAGTATTACCTTGCCTCATCAGCATTAACTGATGCTCATGCCTAGCTGCTTCCATTTCTGCCTCTAGTTTCTCTTTGGCTTCTCTAATGTTCCTGTCGACCTGCTCACGCTGTTGCTTTTCCATCTCATCAAGAGCCTTCCACCGTGAAGCATACTCAAACTCAAACGTTCCAGGCTGAGCAAAACGTGGAGGTTGTTCTCTTTCCCTAATAAAAATTTTGCAGTTAAAATGTACAGAAGGACACGTTTAGATCAACAGCTGCAACAGCCAGAGCATGTATAAACAATAACTTCAAGTGCAGATCTGACCTTACATCAACCTGCCAGATGACTATATTCCAAATCAGACAAAGCTTAATTCAGCTGTTAAGTCAAGTAACAAAGTAACAGAGACAGTTTTCCAAAAACTGTCCAATAAAGATCTGCCCAATTTATTTAAGATAAAAATTCATATTTACACCAGTACAAAATGCCAAGGTACAACACCAGATTAACTGTGTTCAGCCTTCTAAAGCAAGTAGTCAATTCATAAAACCAGTTATTTAGATAACTATCAAAGCTTACTAGACAGCTCAGAATATTAACCAGAATCTGTACACATTAAAAGGTGTCAACATTTTATTTCCTGTTCTAACACTAATACTGTACCTAACAGTCACCAATTTTTAGGAAGTGCTATTCTACAGCCTTACCAGAATACACATTTTAGTTTCAAGCAATATGATTTTTAATGGCAAACTACAATACTAAAAATAAGTATTTTCAGATTAGGTGACTTCTCTACCTCACGATCAAGACTCACTTTTTCACGTCACGCTCAAAGTTTTATCCGAACAGTGGAAGCTGCAAAGATGTACCATCCACTGAGTTTGCAAACAGTTAAGGGACTGTTCAGAGAACATAAAAATCTGAGGGTACACAAATCTCTGCAGGATTAGACCACACCCCTAATCCATAAAAGACTACAGCTTGTCTGGCAACAGGCTCCCACTGACTGCAGTGTAGGTCAAGAATCTCTCTACTTTAAAAAACACACAGAATGTAAAACCAACAAGCCAAATCAGAATTTTACTATGATTAAAAAATTCTGGGAAGGCTGTGCTTAATCCTTTGACACAAAACAGCATGACATACAACACAGTACTTCCTGTTACTCAAATCCAAAAATAAATCTGTGTATATTTATCAAGGTAACTAAGTACATAAATCATGTTTTATAAAATAAAGCTAACCACAACTTACTTGTGGTACTGTTGTGTTTTTTGCATTAGCTTCTCTGGGAGTCCATCTTCATCATCAAATTGCTCCATTGGTTCTACAACAACAGGTCGAGGTGTTCTGGAAAACATTTCCAATTTAATAACTGAATCATAGATCAAGCAGTTACAGTTATTTTAGCATTCTGAGGAAACATTCCAGAAAGCTAAAACGTACTCTATAATTCCTGTATCTTGCCTTAAATCATAGAATGTCAATGAATCCTGATTTTAAGAATTACCTTTGAAAATAATTGTTTCTATGCCCAAAACCAGCTGTTCAGCCCAGAAACCACAACTTACTTCACATAGTTCTGTTTGCTATGAAAGAAAGATTTTTTAAAATATCAAAACCATCTACCAACAATTACAACATACTTAGGAAGGAACTAAGTATGTTGTACTTTTTGGTTTTTATCAGTGAGGCAACACCGGGGCCATGATTATACTGAGAAAGCCTCAAATTCAAAACAGAATAACACAACCTAATTTGATATTTCTACAGACTTTTAGAACTTATTATTGAAAGTTTTTCTACAATTGAAAACACCTTGGTAATTTGGCATTAATATTCCAGTGATAATGAGAAAGACATTTCTGCTTAAGTTGTTTAAAACCCATTCTTTGAACAACCATACACTCACAAATCAGAATCCTAATTTATCTTTGAAAATCACATCCTTGAAATGTAGTAACTAGAGGCAAGTACTAGCCAGTACTGCCAGAGATAGCAGTATAAGAATCCTGAACTATGTAAAAAACTCTCTGCATCAGTCTTGGGAGCAGAGCCTACGAAACATACTTTAAACCGCTAGAAACACCAGCACTCATTTATTATGTTCCACACCTTTATTTCACCTTGCAGATCATCACCCACCGCTTGGTGCATCCAGTCTAGATTAAAAAGATGAAGTCTGGAATCACAGGGCACAACTCAGCAACTGTTTCTTCTGCTGGTATCTGCATGGCAATTGATGACAGTTGCTTTTTAAACGCAACTGAACTGTGGCGCTAATAAATTATGATTCAAAACAATTTTAAATCTATAGATCGTTGTTTTACATGTCTAGTTTTGATACATTTAACCCATGAATTTAAAGATTTTCTTCTCATCAGGCAAAGAATTTTCAGCTAATAAATGTGATTTAGACTCTGAAGCAAAACTTAAAAATAGCATGGCACCAGATTCATGTTAATTATCTTTGCAATTGTGCTTTAGGGAACATGTCAGCCACCTAAGCAAGACAAAGATCAAGTGCTTTTTATTCACAGAGGCCACAGTTAGATGGTCAATTCAACTAATCTATCCAGCTGGTAAAACAAGACTACTACCTCTCATATCCTGGCTTCTTCCCCCTGCCACATCTCTCACGCCAAAAATAACACTCATGTAACACTGGAATAGATTAGTTCCCTTGTTTGGCTCACCACGCTTCCATTCAAATACTAATGCCAAGAAAACCCAGGGGTAAGAATAAATTGCTGGCACCTCCTGATAACAGTAAAGACCTATTCAGAATGAATTCACTATGTAGCAACCAAATCAGCTCAGTGGCACACGAGATTTATGAGATTATCTCAAGAAATAGGAGTTCCAGACCCCTTACCCACCTGCAATCTCCATTTTGTCCTGCACCTGACATTAGCAAGCACGATCATGTGTTTAAACAGACCAAAAAGAGCCCAAGAAAAACTGAATGCTTTTCTGTTGTTTTAGCAAGCACAAGAGGCTTACGGAAATATCATGAAGTTCTCAAGCAGATAAAAAGATCAACAGCACAGCCAAGGCAAGAAAAGAACTACATGTTCCCCAATTCAATGGCAGCAAGTTTCCAGACTGTGAAAGCACAGTCTTATTTTCCCAAATGAGAATCAGAAAAATAAAAATTAAAAAAAAACATGACTATTCATCATTTTAAATAGTCTTTCAGAAAGCATTTGAAAATGTCACTTGTGAATGTGGTCAAGTACAGCACTGAACAGCTCTCTTCAGCACTTACAGAAATAAGAGATGTAGGAGAAGGTCTGCACTTTGTAAGTTTGCTTGCCCTAGAAATAGAAGTTTTCCAGAGATTATTGTTATAAACCTCGGCAGAATCTCAGTCTTCTTAAGAACTAGGAAATGCCCACGAATGCAGCTTTTGTTCACAGCAGAAAGATACACTCACACAAATTCAAACAAAAGCCGGGGAACTTACGTTGTTAGCAAGAATGCCCCATCACTGCATCTTTCTAGAGCTTTTCGTGCTGGAGGTTTTGCTGCAAACTCTACGAAACCTTTTCCTGTAGCTCTGCCACGATCATCTACTACAACCACCGCTCTTTCCACTGGCCCGAATTGAGAGAATGCTTGTTCCAGCAGCTCATTAGAAACCACAGGTGAAAGATTCTTGACAGTTAAGGCAGCTCCGTGTGTAGCAAATCGAATTCGAAGTGGTCTGCTCTTCAAAATAGTACCATCAAGTTCTGCCTTCGCTATTTCAGCCAGGGTCCTAGATTCCTTTATCAAGATATAAAATATTTCATAGATTTTATTTTCAAAGACAACAGATGCCACTTTCATGTGTCCCCCCACAAGAAGCAGCAAAGTTGCTTTCTTTGACTTGACCACACTAGCATCAGGGTCATTCAACCTTTTCCCTCACCAATTATAAAAAAAAAACACCGAAGTTCCTGTCCTTTGATTGAAGAAAAAAAAAAAAAGGCATCTGTCATCCCCTATGATTTATTCTAAAAAATTACACACACACTAATCTTTGTTGCACATTTGAGGACTTAACAAATTTCCATTATGACAGTGCTGCCCCATAAAGGCTTTGAGTAGAGTTGAAAACTTGATGCTTTTTCATATTTACCTACTCAGATGTTTATATTCTGCATTCCTAGCTCCACATAGCAGGAACAGTATTTTCAAAGACTACACTACAGCACCTAAGACGTTTTGGTTTGGCTTCTTGTTTTGCTTTTTCATAAGTGAAAATACCACACTTGCTCTCAATGGATGTCCAATTCAAATTTCATCAACAAATGATGAAATCACCTTCTCTGCTCATATCTTCTCACATTTACAGGCTTTCTGCACCCACATCCATGAGAGAGTGTGCATGAACAACTGCTTTTTTTCCTCACTTCACCGAGTTTGATACCTGCAATCCCTTAAAGAAATTATTCTTAAGATCTTTCTCCACAGTTCAACTGACTAGGTAAGCTAATAGATATATATATATAAACATTTCCTGAACATAATGGAAAAGGGAAGTTCACATAAAAGCTCTATCTGATCTACATTACATACAAAACTGAATAATGGCATGTAAATACATCACACTTCCTCCAGAAAATTGCTATTTCAGGCTAGGGAACTCTCAGGGTAAAAGATGTATGGCAGAATGCCACAAGCATTTAAAGATGACAACCAAAAAGAAAAAAATTGCTAGCCAGTAAAATATATGAAAAAATCATATTTAGAGACACCCAAGGAACCCTAAACCTATTCTGAGAATGATATAAATAGGAGCATTCTAGACACGGCAGTCATGAAAACCAAAACTGCATACTAAATTGACATTTAAATATAATATCATAAACTTTCCGGATGATTCCTTTTTTTGCATGCTCAACTCGAGCATGTTTGATCAAATACTGTATTACCCCTAAAAATCCCGTCTTATCTGGGCACAAGTGATTTAAACAAACCAAGGTCCCCCGTTCTTTGCAATTCCATGATTGTATGTTCTGTTTTCACGATGTGTGAGCAGCGGTATTTCGAAATAATTCTGCCCAGCACCGATGGGTGAGGCGGGGTCCGAAACGCCAGGGGCCGGGAGGGCTACTCAGAACGAAAGGCTTTGGCTTGCATGTAACAGGGGAAGGGGGAGAAAGAAGAGGAGGGGGAGGGACCAGCGCTAGCAGCGAGCGGAGAGAATGAGAGGCAGACATTGCCATTTTTTACACCCGTCGAAAAAGAAGGGAAGGGGGCGGGGGGCAATGGACCGAAGCGTCCCGCTTGCAGAAGCAGCCCCTGGGTCACGGGGCAGCCACAGGGGCTCGCCCGGCTCCTCACCAGGCGGATGAAGCCGAAGCCACGGTCCCGATTGATGAAGACCTCGCTGGGCTCCCCGTAGCGCTCGAAGAGGCGCTTGAAATCCTCCTCGGTGATATCCGTAGGCAGATTCCCCACGAACAGCCGGCAGCGCTGAGTGTAGCTCTTCTCTCCAGGTTTGAGAAAGCTCTTGATATCGATGGTGAAGCCACCCTCCTGCTCCTCATCTCCGCCACCTTCTTTGCTCGGCGCCAGCGCCATGGCCGCCGCCGCCTCATCCTCAAGTTTCTAGCCCCGCATATCCGCTTTCGAGTGCCGCCGCCGCCGCGCCGCCACCCCCACTCATTGCCCAGCGGCGCCCGCTGGGGAGACATTCTTCGATCCGCACTTGCTTGCAATTTCCCTTATTCGCGGCCATATCCCAGCTCCTCATTCGCCGTTCTCTGCTCTGGGTGACGCGGATCCCAGCTTCCGCGGCCGCCGCCTCCGACCTCGGCCGATTCAAAATGGCGCCGCCGCCAGCCCCGGCGAGTTGTAACGTCCCCGCAGAACCCCGCCCAGAGGGCAGCGCTCCCGCTCACGGCCGTGCTGCGCCTACGGCTGGCCGCCCGCGGCTCACGGTCGGTCCCCCATCGCTCACTGGCGGTCCGTCTTCGGATCCGCGAGGCAAGGCGTGGCAGCGGCTGCGCTGTCCCTGAAGGGGACAACCCGCCGGAGGTTTTCCCTCGGTGCGTGACTCGCCCGCACGGAGAGCAGACGCTGGCGCAGCCATGTTATATTAGAGCGATGGTCTCTTCAGCCGGTCCCCAGGCAGAGGAGCCCCTCGATGGGGTCTGTCCCGAGGGAAAGGCAGGGAGGTGAGATGCACTGGTGGGGTGTCTGGGAGGGAGGCAGGCGTGACACGAGAGACGCTGAGGCGGCTGGAGGGACAGCCCTGGGAATCACAGAGTTACGGAATCACTTAGGTTGGAAAACACCTCTGAGATCGTGGAGTCCAACCTCTTACCCAACACCAACATGCCAACTAGGTCATGGCACTAAGTGCATGTCCAGTCTTTTCTTAAACACCTCCAAGAACGATGACTCCAACACATCCCTGGGCAGTCCATTCCAATGTCTAATCGTCCTTTCTGTGAAGAAATTCCTCCTAATGTCCAAACTAAACCCCCCCTGGCACAGCTTAAGACTGTGTCCTCTCATCCTGTCATTAGGTGCACGGGAGAAGAGACTGACTCTCACCTGGCTACAGACTCCTTTCAGATAGTCATAGAGAACCATAATGTCACCCCTGAGTCTCCTTTTTCTCCAGGCTAAACACCCCCACCTCCCTCAGCTGCTCCTTATAGGACATGCACTCCAGAGTCTTCACCAGCTCTGTTGCCCTCCTCTGGACATGCTCCAGCACCTCAATGTCTTTCTTGTAATGAGAAGCCCAAAACTGGACAAAAGACTTAAGGTGTGGCCTCACCAGTGCCAAGTACAGGGGGACAATCACTTCCCTAGTCCTGCTGGGCACACTATTTCTGATGCAGGGCAGGAAGGACCACCCGGGCACTGCAGTGGAGCATGGGAGGACCTGCGGATGGACAGGACAGGAAAAATGTACACTGAGGCAGATGTAGGAGACGAATCTCAGTGAAGAGAGGCCTTGTTATGTCTGCTGCTTCTGGAACAATTTCTTACAGGGCAACAGCTTTCATTGTAAAGGGGATGACTTTCTTCTGAGAGGTGTGAAGTAAAACGTATCCTTCCTTGGGCACCCCTTCTTGTAGCAAAGACTACATATATCTCTCATTTGAAGCACAAGACTATAGTTTGCTCTCCTGCTCACCTGCGAGATGCCCAGCTGCCTGGTTTGATCTGTGTGTTTCAAACAGTATTTCAATGGGAGCATAGTTTCATCAGACAAAGAGCTCATTAGTTTGCTAGTTGCCTCATAGAAAGCCTGATAATCCATTCTTGGCTCAGTAATTGCCAACACAGTAGCATAAGCACTTTGGGTGTCCATGTAGCACTGCATCACATAGGGGAACTCCTGGCCAATAGAGCAAGACTTAAGGAGAAAATAACCATATTATTTGTTTCATTAGTACAATGATAGCACTGAAAAAGTCTAAACCATCTCATGATGTTAATAGTTACTTCAGCTAGTGCATGGCATATACTGTTCTTTGGAGAAACCAATATTAAGCATGATATTCAAGAACAAGTTAATTCTACAACAGGCATGAATCTGTTGCTCAGGGGTTTCCTTGTCTATTGGAGAATATTTCAGTTCCTCTGTCTTGTTTTTCCATTTGAGGCACAAAAAAGATCTCAGTTCTTTTCCTTCTGTCTCTGATCTTGTACCAGGACCCTGAGAAAAACAAGTTCCCAGCTTTATCAGCCCACCTCTTCCTGAAGCAGACTCACAGATGTAGGGCATCAAGCTAAACCTAGATTTAAAGCTCTGAAAATCAGTAGAGGAAGGATATCTACTCATAGCAAAGGCAGGAAGTCAGGCAGTGTAGGAACGTGAGGGAGGTATTAAAGTCCCTAAAGCTTAATCATCTTGACTGTCCAAAGAGGTGTGGTTTGTGATATATTTAGGATTCAATAACAAGTGTTAAGACAGAAAAGAACTAACTTACAACAAACCAGTAACTTTCTAAAATGGGTAAACATGTAAAGGGAGTGAAACATATGTTAGAAATTATGTGGCTATGCATTGTAGAGGTATACTCATCAGTAGATGAGAAAAGGGAGATGTGAAGTTATCTGCTTGATAAGTTTTTGCCAGTGCCATGTAATAAAATTGTCATGGTTTTCAAACACTGATTTCCAAATCAGGTTAGTAATAAAAGCTGTAACCATCTAAATATACAGCCATAAATTCATGTGTATTATAAAAAAGTCAATAGGAGGAGCAAGGAGTGTTTACAAATTCCACACTATTCTTACCTTTCCTTGGCTGAAAATGATAATGCAGTAAAATAGAGCAATAAAATTCCCCAGAAACAAGAAAATCATTAATGTTTTTGAAAATTTGTCTATTTTGTTGTGTGCTCATGGATTCATACGTTATCTTCATTAGTCAGATTCACAGTATAATCATAATGCACCTACATGCCCTGTTTAAACTTTTTTGTGGAGGAGCTATTTGCACATGCCCCACAGTCAAACATTTAAGGGTAATGTACAAAAAGAACTGGATATCTGCTATGCTCAGTCACTTCCTCATGTTCGTTTACATATCACTTTACATTTTACTTATTCATCAGAACAGCCCCACACAGTTCATCTCCCTTACTGCCCAGAGTCTTTGTGGCTTGATGATTGTCACACCTTGCCACTTCCACCAGTTAATAAGTAAACATTTTGAAAGTAAACAAAATGGGACTCTTGAAGTTCTTGTTCCAATGCTTTCCTTCTGTTGTAAACATCCACTGACATTTTTATGACTTTACTAATTCCAATTCATATAATGGGAAGAGTTCTGCTAGACTGTTCCAGCCACTCTCTGTAAGTTTGCTATTGTTATATTTAATACTTTTAATGCAGTTGAACTGCATGAAAGTAATTGCAGAAGAGTGGGGGAGTAACAATTGTGATCACATGGTCATTTGTTTTCACTCTGTAATCTGAGCAGAAAACAGGAGCAAAATTTTGAAAATCACCAATATTTTTCATTTTGTCTACTACAGAGAAAAGTTCAGTTTGGTGTATGCTAAAGTGTTCATGCTGTCAAGAGATTTGAGTGTTTTGCCAAAACACACACCATCTAGCTATGTGCCATATGAGACACAGACAGAAGCAATTGTCCTAGCTTTTAATTTTCTATATCATAGCATTACTCTTCTACCAAATATCAACATCCTGCTGAAAATCAGGGAGACATCAGACCTCAAAGAGAAAACCATCACAGCTTTTTATGCTGCAAACTTGTAAATGCTACACATCTTGATCTGCCAATAAAAATCCCAAACTATTTGTGTTTACCCTTGAACAACTTCAAAGTGATTGCCTGGATGCCAACACTGCAGTCCTGACAGCTATGTTAGTGGTGAAGATGGCTTCTCAAAAGGCAATTGTAGCTTACTGCTCAACACATCTCTGCAATCCCAGCTTATTTCTTTTTGCTTCCTAAAATCTGCAATGAGTCACAGTTAGGATCAGTACTTGTAATTCAAGCTACAGTGGTAGATAATGACAGAATGTATCAGGGAGTACTAGAACTGAGAGGTAAATTAGGGCATGGAAGAGGTTGATCCATGTGAGAGGAGAAGGGAAACAAGGGAAAGCACAAAATTCTGCGCTGAAAAAGATTGGAGTAGGATAGGTAGTGGTTGATGGCCTGAGACTGGGATCCTATTCCAAAGTGCAAGGCTAGGGAACTGAGGTACACCTCTGTGCATGACCTGACGTAGGTGGGAGCTGCTGCTGCTCTTCATCTCTTGCCATTAAAGGCAGCGTTTGCCTTCAGTTTTGCTCATGGCAGGATCGGAACAAATTTAGCTTGGTAGGTAGGTATTGGTCTCCACTACTGAGCTTTTCTTACAAGGTTCAATTGGCTAAGAATATTAAAAATACTAGCTGTCATAGCTGTGCCAGTGAGCCTGATGGTATAAACATAGCAGTGTGGAGGAACATTGCTTAATGCAATCTGAAATAGTGATGCATACTTTGTAATCATCTGAAGATGACCTCATCATGTTACTAATCGAGTATTAAGAGTGGTTACAAGTGTCGTGTCAGTGCCATCTGGTGACAAATACTGGAATTATCACTAGAACTTTAATAGAATAATCCAAGCGAAAATGAAGATGAAAACCCTACAATAATATTATCTTATTGGTCCCAGATGGACAGCACGGCTTGGATTTTCTATTTTTAAACTTGATGAGAAACCCTCCTCTCTCTGTCCTCATTTCTTAATAGTATAATTCAACCACATAGATTTATTGTTTTTACGTGGATTGAAGTGTATATGAATCACATTTATAAAATCTATAAATCCTAACTTAATATGGTTAGTAGCCACCTAAATGCATGCCATATTAATAGATTTTTTTAATGTGAATTAAGACTAGTATTTCAGAATTAACCGTGTATGTGTAGTCAGTATTATTCTTTAAAACAACATTGTTCTCAAGGAAACAAGGACTGAAAATACATGAAAACAGATTTGTCTGTGGAATTGTACTTGCCAGATGGACTTCTAAGCTCGATAAAAGTTACCTGATTTTTCCAAAGCTACTTTCTCCACTAATATAACCAAAGCATACAATGCATTCCTTTTTGAATATTTTTCAGCATATTGTCTTTGCCTATTCTGTGCAAGAGTGACAGTTAAATACTAGGGCAAGCAGGAAGTTAAAGCCCTAAAGCATTCCCCAAATATATTCAGCCCTTAATTTATCTCTAAACAATCATTTGATG